ATACATGTGCATATGTTTATTTTTTACATTTTCTTTCTTTTCTATTCCTTTCCTCACCACTTTTTATAGGTTAAAAAGTGTTGGTAATTGTAACTTTTCAACTTTATCAACTTTGATGACACAGAAGGCAAAACTCAGAAAAAGACTCCACAATTATCTTTTTGACATTGGAGATGAGACAGTAGTAGGTAATCATGATTTCCCTCCTCTAATACCCATTCCATGTTCTCTTTGTTTTTATCTTCTGAAATTGTTGAGGACGAGTAACAGGTGATTGACCAGACCTTCCAGTAGCTGTTCTTTAACATTTACCACTGAACATGGAAGTATTGGGAGAAACCCCAGAGAATGTCTTGGGTACCAGATATATTAATCCATGATTGCATCGGAAAGAACAATTATATTTATTCTTGAAGGTCAGAATCAGTTACTTCAGGCAACCATAGCCCATTTGAAAGGCTCACACTGTAGCATGAGGAACCTAAATTTCTAGATAGCAGTTTCAGTTTCCAATCTGTTTAAGCCATTGGAGTTGGGTTCCTTTTCCTCATAGCGGAACACAATCCCCAGCTTATAAAACAAGACCGTGTTTGTGTCACATGGTCTATTTGACTTGATCTCCCAGCCTGCAGAATGAGAGAACGGGAGTCACTGTGTTCCCTCTCCCTGGAATGTCCTTCCTCCCTTTTCACTTTGCCGGCTTCCTGTCCTGCAGGTTTCAGCTTAATGCTGTCTCCTCAAAAGGCCTTCCCTCATTATTCCATCTAGAATAAGTCTCCCCACCCCTACATTAATATGTATCACAAGACTTTATTTATTTCTCATTTTTCACTATTTTGTTTGTTTACATTATTTTCAATTCTCCTCATCCTCCACTAGATTCAGCAATACCACAAGCAAGGACCCTCTATCTTGGTCTTTGCTGATTCCTCATGACCTAGAATGGGCACATAATTGGTGTTCATTGTACATGAGCTAAAGCACTGCGATTGAGCTAACTAATGATTTTTAAAAAATATATTTTATTGATTTTTTACAGAGAGGAAGGGAGAGGGATAGAGAGTTAGAAACATTGATGAGAGAGAAACATCGATCAGCTGCCTCCTGCACACTCCCTACTGGGGATGTGCCTGCAACCAAGGTACATGCCCTTGACCGGAATCAAACCTGGGACCCTTGAGTCCGCAGGCCGATGCTCTATCCACTGAGCCAAACCGGTTAGGGCTAACTAATGATTTTTTAAAAGCAAAAGCTGTAATCAGATTTTAGTTTTAGAGATACCACTCTGGCTATCACATGAGCAATGCATGGGAGAAGGCAACACTTGATAGGAGACCAAGAAGGAAGTCTGCGACAAGCCTTAATAATAGAACACAGCCAGGGTCTCTGGGTTTGAGAGCTTCCAATCACAAATGGGTGTTCTCTTGGACCATTTCAAGCCATGAGGCAAGAGGGACAGAATCAAGACTGGACCCAAACGTTTTCTTATAGCACAAATAAACTGTAGGACCTCTGGAATCAACAGAGAAGATGACCCACTCTTGGAACATGTGACCTCTCAGCCGCTTTCCCAGACACAACAGTTTTTCTGAATGTGCTCATGAGCAGCTGTCCATTCAGTAGGACAGCTTGTGCTTTCAAGCTTCCTCTGACTGAGGCTGACCTGGCTACTGCCAATCTGAGTTCCCTAGAGCAACAGCAGCAAGCGAGCTGTACACACATCTTGGAGGGGGCAGTGATTTGTCCCCCATGGAGTTCCTTATCTCCCTCCTCCCTCCACATCTAGATTTAGGTTGTCTCTCCTACCCGTCATGCTTCTGGCTTGTCCAGCACCTATGGATTTACTAAATGTCTTATTCACCACCATATTTTACCACACAACACTGTTCTGACCAAAGAACTCTTTTTACAGGGAAAGGAGTAAATATAGCCAAGTGTCTACTTGATATCTCTTTTGGGATATCAAGTAGATATACCCCCCAAAATATCAGGATGGGTCTGGAACACCCCATTTTTGTTATAAAACATCAGGGTCAGAGATAGAAGAATGAAGTGGAAGGCAGCAGGGTTCCCTACAGCCAAGCTATTTGAGATTAACTTCAAAACAAAGCTCTGAAGGGAGAAGATGGTATAAAAAAACACACAAAAGATAGTTGTAATACTAAGAAAGAAAAAAATAGGTTATTTTCATTTTTCTTGACATTTAAATGTAGGCAAATGTTGACATTCATGGAGTTTTTCTTTTATTGCTATACGTTTCAAAGTATACATATGTATTTGTTTCTATCTTCACAAGCAGGAAAGGGTGAATAAAAACATGTCAGCCAGCCAAACAGTTCTAGAGAAGCAGGAACTGTACCAAGAATAGAAAGGACTGATCAGCTCTGCTGATTTCACAACAGTCAGGGCGGTGCGGGGCCTGGCAGCCATTAGCTCCAGTACTTACCCAGGGAGATCAATTACAAAGATGGTTGGAGAGAAGCTTGCAAAAGGATAAACTCACCAAATGTTCTATGAGGAATGCTACCCAGGCAAACTCAATCTCTCCTTTTCTAGGAGGGGAAAACTACTAATGATAGTAATAAGATAGTGGTAAATACTTACATTTAAAAAATGTCAGTAGTCAATGTCTATATAACAAAATGGACAGCCAGTGTCACAAAACTTGAAGGCTACAAAATTTGAAGAATGTGTCAAAAACTGAGAGTCTGCCTAAGAGGCAGGGATCTGAGAGTCCCATGATGAAACAAGTGAAAATGATTTTATGAAGTGGCCTCGGCCTATGATCAAAACTTAGATTTGAATTGTCTTGGACTGTGCAACCCAAGAACTTGTGAGTTCTGCTCAAGAACATACAACATCCTTAACAATAGCTTTTGTGCCAGAAAAAAATTTATTCAGGGAATGTTGTCATTTTTTTCAATTGATAATTAATGAAAACTACAAATTCAAATTCATTGAGTTTTTTTTTAATTCAACTCATAAGCTTCATTACTGTGTTTATAAATCTGGAAACTTTTAACAATCATGTTTAAAAGGGCTTTTATAATTTAATTGAATTATTTTAAATATTTATGAATTTAATATATTCCCTATTATCTTTGAGTACTTCAACTGTACAATAAACAATTATTAAGAGCTGTAAGGGGCCTGGTATTTTATCCTCCTTGGAAGCTGATAAGTTAGCCTGTAAAAGTTTCTTAGCCCTTAGCAGAAGACAAGAGACTTCTAGGTGAGAGACAAAGGCCTTTAATACTCACAGCAACAGCAGCAGCCAGAGTACCATCATGTTGCATTGGTTCACTGTTCAATGGGTCTGGTTAAGACCCAAACATAGTGTGATGATTAAATTTAATGTGGTGTCTTGGATGGGATCCAGAAACAGAAAACAGGACATTAGGTAAAAACTAAAAAAATTTGAATAAAGTATAGACTTCAGTTAATAATAATGTATCAATATTGGTTCATTAATTGTGACAAGTATACCCTACTAATGTAAGATGTTAATAATAGATGAAACTAGGTATGGGATATACAGGAAATCTCTGTACTATCTTCAAAAAATGTTTGGTAAATTTAAAAATATTTTAATATATAGAGTATTTTTTAAGTTGAGTAAATGAAAAATATTGAATAAGTGATAGTACATGTTGTAGTTGAATATTGAAAACATTGGGAAAACTGTAGTCAATGACTGAAATTTGGGAACACTGGTTTTGAGTATAACGAGGAACATCTGAACTATCTGCTGAGCACGCATTCTTCCCCACCAGTGCGAGGGGAAGACGTGTGATCCAACCACAGCAGTCTCGCCCTGTAGGTTACAATTTCAGATGATCCTTATGCAGCACTAACTAGAAGAGTCTTTCATCACCACCCTGAGAATAAGCAGAGTCTAACCACCAAAAGCAGAGCTGAAACTTCTTTCTCTGGAGGAAACTGGGGTTTCTTGGTGTCTGGGTTCTCAGGGGATTTCTTTGGTGAGAAGTCACTATTAACACCCAGACTCTGGTTTACCACAGGGGTGTGGCTCTTCAGAAGCCTGTGTCTTTCAGCAGTCCCCTTAGCATACTTGAGCCCTTATCTACACAGACAAGACCCCTCACCGTAGAAGTAGGGAGACGGAATTGCGGACCGTGCCCACTGATGCCACAACCTCGAAGGCCCCCTACCGTTTGTCTTCCAGCCTGTTCCCAATCATCTAGGGGTTGTAGCACTTGTCCCTTTCTAACTTCAAATCCAAGATTCCAAAGTGAGAGAAGAGAGTGCCAATATTCCTCATCTATAAATGAAGGACGACAAGAAAGAGTTGGTGTATATTAGTGGTCTGGGTCTTTATATGAGAATCATCTGGAGGGCTTGTTACAACACAGGTCACTGGACCCAACTCTTGAGTTCCAGTGCAATATAGGGTCAATAATTTACATGTGTAATAAGTCCCCAAATACTGCTGATGCTGCTGGTTGGAGAGCCACACTTTGAGAACCACTGGTTTAAAAGACCTCGAGGGCATCTTTCTGTTTTCATATTTTTCAAACCCATGTAACTAAGACTCATGTGATCATAAGAATTACCTACGAATTTGGTTAAATATACAGATAAGCAGGCCCCACCCCAAGGATCAGGCTCCACTGACTCAGAATCAAAAGGAGAGCACTTCAGGTTATTCTCGTGACCAGAGGAGTTTGGGAAACTTTATTACATCAAAACTTAGTGTACAATCAGTACATATGGTCTCAGGTTAGAACAGGACATGATGGGGAGATCATGGACATTGATGGGTAGCATGAAAGCCCCAGGAGAAATGGGTAAAGCTGGAGGGGGTGCGAAGGGATCATCAGGGTCACAGTCTTGTCTTGACCCTTGCCCACTATGTGCAAAGCACTGCAGAAATCATCTCAATCGCTTAGCATGCTTCCTTATACATTATCAATACTATCGAGGGAGGGCAGAAGGTCAAAGGGAAATAATAGAAGGTCATCAAATGTTTCATTCATTTATTGTTTTGAATGTACTTGGTTTCCCCAAACACATATCAACATATCAGTGGAAAGGCCTTTATTAATTTTTACATCCTCTCTTACATATATAGCATTCAGGGACAAAGCTGGTCTGATGAGTAACTAGAGCATATGGCTTCTAGAGCTTGTAATGGCCAAGGAGACCATATGTCCAGGTTTTCCAGATAATTCACTACTATCCCAGCTTCCTATGCAGTCCTCACCCCCATTCTCTCTCAGAAGTATCCTAGTTTGGATGATAAATTGTATTATGTATGTAAAATAGATAAATTACTTACAGCTCTAACATTTCACATGTCCATGGATATATAATCACAGTCACTTATTATTTTTGTTTAATATCTTATACATTAAAAGGTATTTCTATAAAGTAAGTTAGAGGTCATTATACCCAGTGTGCAGTTTTGGAAACATAGGCTCAGAGAGGCAAAGTGACCTGACCAATATCACAAAGCTCTTAGAGGCAGAATAGGAACCTCTTCTAAACCATAGCCCAATGGGTTTCTTCCAAAACGGTATTATTTGAAGGTGAAGTGGTCCTTCTCTTTAAACTATATTATCGACATGTCCCAGAAAATAAAATTTTGTTATTAAGATGTTCATTCCTTTTCATCTTTTAATATCAGTGATATGAGTCCCTTTTAAAATCAAAATATTCTAAGCCTCTTTCAACTAATACATCAGTGGGGCTAAACAAAGGGGTAGTAGAAAGCTAGGCCTAGTCGAGTAGGTAACGAAGGGCATGCCATAAAATGGTAATGGAAGGAAAGACCAGTGAGTAGGGAGATGGGCCCTCTCAAAGGTTTTCGTTGAGGGGAGTTGTAGGGCGAGGAGGGCATCATAATTCCACCTCTCAGTTTTACCCGTGTGGCCCCCAGCCATGCTAGCTTGTTCGAAATAAACAGAAACTAATGTTAGTTCTGGCTGAAAGCAAACTGAAAAATAAAAATTAAAAAAAGGAAGCAAAGTGAGGCTTTAATTTTGGCCTACATTCTCCTCTTAGATAAATTAAGGGGCAAAAAGAAATCTCTCCTTATAGAGAAAGATCTCAGCCAGTGATGGCATCCCAAGATGCCCCATTTAGAAGAGCATTTTCAAAATGCTACCATCCAATAAAGAAGTTTATTCAGGCTCGGCCAGCAGAACTCAGTGGTTGAGCATCGACCAGCAGGTCACAGTTCGATTCCTGGTCAGGGCATATGCCCGGGTTGCAGGCTCGATCTCAAGTAGGGAGCATGCAGGAGGCGACTGATCAATGATTCTCTCTCATCATTGATGTTTTTATCTCTCTCTCCCTCTCTCCCTCCCTCTCTGAAATAAAATATATATTTTTAAAAGAAATTTATTCAGAATGAGACTAATAATCTTCCTGGAGGTATTTCTCTCTTTCTTCCCTGAAAGGCAGGATTCTGGCCCATGTCATTGTCCCTCATGGTGACGCCCCTTCTTTTCCACAGCATGGGGTGGGGTTTGCTCCATTAAACAAGAAACTCAAGGAGAAGGCCGTTAGAAAATTGGAAAGAGTGGCAGCTAGAGAGCAGATGCTCCTGCCTTATAAATTAGTAGGAGATTATGCATGGACAGCTGTACCATATAAATGCCCAGTTTTTATACCACACCATGACCCACTGTGTTTATCATATGGTCCAGCATCTGGTCAATTCTGTCCCAAACTTCCATATATCTATTCAAATCAAGCATTGGCTGGGGATTTATTTATGTATACGATTCAATCTCAATCAGAATACCCCCCTGAGGTCTGGACTTGCAGTGTGGCAGAGAAAAACCCAGCAAGTCCTTTGTGTTGCAACTGTAAGTTCCTCATTCCCCTGGAAGATCCTTTTATTTTCACAAGGCATAGGAGGTAAGTAGCGGCCAAATGGGGAATACACAAACATACACACGCACATGCACACACGCATGCACACACACATAAAGATATAGATACAAAATTCTCAAAGTCTTTATATACCAAGAGAACCAGATACCTGTACTCTAGAATAAGGTAGATGTAATGTCTTATATGTCTTGGTTAATTAAGATAAAAAGAAAAAAGATTTCCCTGTGTTTTAAAAATCTTGGCCTTAACCTGAGGATACATACAAGTTTTCTAAGTTTCTTTCCTTTGTAAAGGCATCTTTTCCAAGAAGAAAATCCATTCATTGATTTCTTGCCTTTGGATGTTTTGCTTTAGATGTCTTTATTCGTTTCTTTTCCATGGGACCCAAGTCATGTGGGCCCTTCTTTGTGGTACAGTCAAAAGGATACTCTGATCTTCCTCTCACCACACACATCAAAACAAATTTTAGATTAATCAAAGAATTAAATTGAAAAACTCAAACCAAAAAGAAACTTAGGAGAAAATGCTTTACCAATTTTTTTTCTGATCTCTGGGTGGTGAAAAGTTTTAGATGATAAAAACAATGGAAGTAGTTGTCATAGAAAAAGACTGATAGATTTTACCCCATAAAATTTTAAATCTTCAAATTTAGCATAAACTGAATTAAAAACCAAAAAGGCAAGGTGTAATTTTTTTTTTTTTGCAACAGATAATGAAGAGTTAATAACCTTAATAGATGAAAGAGCTCTTAGGGATCAACACGAAAAACACCAAAGCAACTGATAAATAGGAAAAAGACAGAAATATACAGTTCTCAAAAGAGGAAATACAAATTGTCAGTAAATTGTTTTATTGTTCAACTCATTAGTAAAGTTAAAATCTTAAATTAAAACAAAGTACCATTCTATATCATCAACTAGAAAAAGATTAAATTGTAGTACCAACAATGGGATGAGGTCGATAAATCAGGACAACCAATTTGGCTTTAAAGTATTTGTATCTTTTGAATCAGTAATTGTTTTACTGGGTCTCTATACTAAGTGTGAAAATTTCAAAACACAAATATAAATTCAGGCACAATGAGATTTGCTGTAGTAATAGCAAAAGAAAGGGTGGAAACAATCTAAATGCTCAACTATAGAGAAATGGTAAAGTATATTAGGATGTGTTCATTAGGCTATTATATTTTCATTAAAGTCATTCTTACAAGAATTTATAATGCATAAGAAGGTGGAATAAATTCACATTTCTCTTGCCTAATTAATGTGACACCTTTTCCATACACTAGATTTGCATGAAGTGTTTGTTCTATGTAACGTTATCAAACTGAAGGGATCAGGAAATGCTACCCCAAACCATGCCACTGTGGCAGGAAGATAATTTTGAGCTAAAGGCAATTAAGAATCAACAGACAGCCTGGTCAGCATGGCTCAGTGGTTGAGCATCAACCTATGAACCAGGAGTTGCGGGCTCGATCCTCAGTGTGGGGTGTGGAGGAGGCAGCCAATCAATGATTCTCTCTAATCATTAATGTTTCTATCTCTCCCTCGCATCTTCCTCTCTGAAATCAATAAAAATATATTTTTTAAAAAAGAATCAACAGATGCAGGAAGAGTTCTCTGCCCTCCCTTTATCTGCCTACATGCAGGCATAAAAATGCCTTTGTGAAAGTGGTGTAAGTTTTCCTTGCTCTCCTGTACCAGGATGAAGAAAGGCACACTTATCACCACAAACAAGAGTCAGCACCAAGACAAGTGCATAAACAAATGTTACTCAAATAAACTTCCTCTTCCGTTAGTTCTCCCATATATTTCCTATTTACTTCCCCACAATTTATAGGCCTTGAAGCCCAAATTCTCTTTTCTTTGTTAAAATGTTATATAAGCTCCCAAATCTAACCATTCTTTGGAATTTCACTTCTTCTCTGTGAACTCCTGTGCATGTAAAAATATTAATACATTTGTACTCCTTCACTCCTGTTAATCGGTCTTTTGTCAGATAAATTCACAGGCCCCAGACACTGAACATAAGAGGGTAGAGGAAAATTTTTCCTGCTCAATAGTTTCTGGCACATAGAAATTCCTTCATGACTCTTATGTATTATCATCATTCTCTTTTAATCCTTGAAACAACTCTGTGAAGTTGGCATTGTTTTACTCATCTCATCAAAAAAGGAAGCAAGGCTCAGTGAGGTCAAGCCCCGTGTCTAACTGAACTGCTGTTTAAACAGATTGGTCAGGCTCCACAGACCACGTTCTTCCCAACACATTATGATCCCAAGACCAGAAGATTCAACAAGACTCATCATGAAATTACACAATATTCTACATTAAAAAGTTGTTTTCAGTTGTATGGAGGGGGGCATTTTGGACTTCAGGGTAGGTATGGAAATTAAGTATGACGCTGATTGGTACAAAGGGGGATCGTTTAAGATCTTCAGACTATTCAAAATAAAGCAATAAAAGAAAGTACTATCGTGCAATAGCAATACATGCAAAAGGAGAGTTTTTTTAAAGGGCCAAAATATTTGCAGTAGAATGTTATGCCTTTCTCTCTATGACTTCATCCAACTGAAAAAAACTTCTGATATCTGGAGGCAAACATGCCTATAAATTGCAAACCTGAAACTCTAAACCTGGACACTGAAGCATGTCATTGAGTGGAATGCTACAAATGTGACCCAGCTGTTAAATCCGCATGCTACGAACAGGGGTGTCTCAAAATCGCTCACTTAGTGACCTATAAACAGCAGTGATGCAAGAAAAAGTAACCATGATGATAAATGCATTCTCTCTGTTAGATTTTGTTACCTCCCTTTTTCTTTATTTTTGAGACGTCATCCCTTTGACCACACTGCAGACTTATGTTAGTATGGAGCTTATGTCAGTATGGGGCTGCTGCAAGGTGTGTGTCTGCTTGGTACAGAAAGGAGTCATTTAAGACTTTAAAGTGATTTGGAAAATATTTAAGAATTAGAGGGAAAGAACCACCATGCAGAGGCATTAAGTTCAAAGATTTGGTTTTTAAAAATGCAAAGGAGGTAAGGGAAATGAGCTGCCTCCTTTTCCCCATGATTTTATCTCATACTAACCTCATTTAGGTACTCTGTGTGCCAGCATGTCAGTAAACATGACACATTTGAAACTGCACATCTTGAATTTGAAGCACATTATTCAATGGGATACTATAAAGGTCATCACAGCTGTTTCTCCACATTCTTCAAAACATAGGTGTGCCAACACGGCCCACCCAGAGGCTTTTAAATATTGATGGTGCAAAAAAAAACATTAAATAGGTTTTATGTAATTGGGCACTGTTGAGATTTGGCAAGGCTTCAGATTTTACTGCTAATAAAAGCTACAAATTGAGCCTTCCCTTAACATCAA